GTCCCGGTAACCTAAGTGATCACCGGGGTCTTCGTAGAACGGGGCTTCGCGCTGAGGTCGTCTGTCAGCATAGTCTGACGGCGACCTGGGCATTGTGCCATCTGAAGGGACATACTGTAAATACTCCTCCCTCTCTTCGCTCTGGTCGTATCTGCGATCTTGGTCCCTGGACACCGACGGGCTTCTTTTCCTAGAAACCCAAGAAAAAGACTTATGAGATGGCATTTAGGCAGGTTGACACTCGATTTGACTCATCGCCAGGTGGATGGACACATTTGGGTAAATCATTTCTTTTTTTCTTCTCAAAAATGTAGCTTAAAAACACTACAATATTACAATATTGACCCACACAACTCCGTGTGTGTATGTGTGTGCTAGTATGTGCACACGCGTGTCGTGCAAGCGCAGGCAACAGAAAATTCGGTTTACTTTGGGCATTATTTTTATACAAATGACTAAGGAAAAAACTTATCATACGATAAGTGCATGTCATGAAAATTACACCATGGCTACAGGATCTGAATTTCTTAGTTATACTTATTGCAGAGTATAACTCTTGGAGAGTCTCTACTTTCAAAAAAGAGAGACATGACTTATACACTTTGACTGGGATCATTTCAACAAGCAGATATTGGGTAAGTACTAACGTTGCACACTCCATTATCAATAAGGAACACATAAACGAATGCGACATTATTATCCCCAACAGTAAGATGCTGAGTGGTCACCAAAGCTTCGTCAAGTTAATTTGTTTAAATGAAAGCTTAAAGAATTAAGGATTCCCAGTAGAATGTTATCAAATTATGCTTAGTATTACGAAAGTATTAAAAAGACATCAAGAAAGTTTTGAAAATAAGTAGAAAGTAAATAGTCTTCTTAATAAAGGATTCTAACGACAAATTAGAAAATCTACCTCCCTTTATAGAATTCAGTTCCAAAAGGAAGATCATTAATATACGGTCCCTGGCGAAAGCATCTAAGTGTGGTTTTTCAATCACTCTATAGGAAACATAAATTCAGTGTTAAACTAGAAGTCACTGTTGTAAAGACTACCAAACATGCCTGATGCATCTGGGTCATAGTACACACGTTCACTTCCATTGGGCTTAAGTAAAGTGGAATAGTGGTTGAAATCTGAAATTGGGAGGATTATTGGTCCTGTTGCTTAAAATAAAACTTGACGGGCAACATTCTACTGTAGCATTCTTGAAAATAAATAATCTACTATTAGTTATTCTGACATGTTAAATTTGTGACAAGCAAAGGTCTACCAAGTACATCACGAATCATTTCATACACACTGTCTCTTAAATTTTTTTGGCTTTTCAAGACAGAATTTCTCTGTATTGCTTTGTAGCCTGTCCTAGAACTTGCTCTGTAGACCAGGCTGGCCTCAAACTCACAGAGATCCGCCTGCCTCTGCCTCCTGGGTGCTGGGATTAAAGGTGTGCGCCACCAACGCCCGGCCTGTCTTTAAATTTTTAAAACCTCTATGTTCTTAGAAACTACTGCATTTTCAAGAACCAAAGAAACTCCATTAAAATTCAAGTATCTAATCTGTATGTTGGTATCCAGCCTGCATAAAGCCTTATAAAATAAACCTTAGTCTTTGTTATTCTCAGGAGAAAAATGACAAGCAAAATAAATGATAATGTGTACATTTCTCTGAAAGGATAATAAAGCATTTAATATTCAACCCATAAGTCATAATTCAAAGCAATTCACTTAGGAAGTCCTGGATAATCATCCAAAGAATCTGAGGAATTAAGTCACAAGTCAAAGGTACACCTTTTTCTAACAAAATACATGGCACACTATATAGTACCATCAAATTTCTCTCTTGCATTCTGTTTATTCCTGATATAACAACACCAGCACATACTTAAATCCCCTTTATTTCTACCCTGCTACTTCTCATTATTAAACCTACATGGTTAAATTCTTTTTCTCTTTGACCATATTAGAGTAATGTTAACAGGAACCCATTAGTAGAAAATACACTTGAAAGGTTCTGTGTCTATCTCCCTGACCACGCAGCATGTCTGTCATTGCTTAGTTTCTAGTCAGGCAGGACTAACTTTCCAGTCTGTTTCTAAATAATCTAAATAATCTGTTTATACCGTGCACCAGATGTTCGTTCCATTATAAATGTCTATCTGACTGTGCATAACACTTTGAGTAAGAAAACATATCAACTATTTAAAACTTCATGTCTACAAAATCATGGTGATTGATGAGAAAATCCCTCCCAAAATAACTTTTTTCTAAATTTAAGTTACTTTTCCAATATCCCAGAGACAGTTTCAGTTTATACGTTGCATATTAATTTCTTCCTACTGTTATTGTAATTCCCATTGGCTTTCTCAAATGGTTTTGTGTGTTAACTGTGTCACTATAATACTGGCCATATTTACCAATTACTATCAAATCTTTGAAAACAGAGCAGTAGACATTTGAAAACATGTAATGAGAGAATGCATGAAAAGATGAGCCTTCATGTTTGTATATTTCTAACTCTTAGCTAATGATCTAGGAAACTTTTAAGAATCTCAGTGACATGGAATATCATTCTATATTTGAATTTTGTATTACTACATCTTAGCACTATCTATATACTTCAATAAATATCTTATTGGTAAAGATTATTTAAGGACAACCACTTTATAAATAAATGTATTTATTTACTTGAACATATTGAATCCCATTTTTAAAAAATTAAAAATCAGAAAAGAAACTGCACTCTTTTTACATTTAATAACTGTCATTTTAAAAATGGAAGACTATATGGGTGACATTCCAAGATTCAAAATCTGAAACGATACCTCCATCTTTTAAAATGTTTTGTTGAAACGTGTAAATTGCAAAATGAATACTTCATGACTACAAGTATATAACACTAACTACGTAGTTCAGATTAAACATTGCAAAGTCAAAATTCAAAGCTCTTAAACTACAGTACATCATGAATTTAAACAAATCTATGATCGTGTGGAACACGCAATAGAATCAGCCCAAGCCTATAATTCCCTTTTGGAAAGCTTAACAAATCAATGTATATTTGTAAAAAGCATGAAAAAGTTTTATGCGTCACAATGAATATTTAGCATTTTTATTTTTACCTTTGCTCAACCAAAGCACATCTGTCAGGAAAGAGGCCTCACGCTGATGAAAACACAGCAACATTACGCCAGGCAGTGCTTTCTCTTAATCCTTCCAACCCTAGTGGGCACACAGGAGCCATTCTTAATCTGATGATTTGAAAGACTCTTGGCTGGCAATCATTTTAGTACAAAACTCGATGACGGAAAGTTAAAACAGCCTTCATTTGAGGAGGACGCCAAGATGCTGCAGCGGTGTGAATGGAAAGGCTGCTTCAATGCTGTCACTGTGTGACTGTATATAGCTACAGGTCAAGTAAGAACGCCCTCTAAGAAGGATTACGGTACTTAGCTGATTACTGCCTCCCAATACCTAACCACACACAATCCGGATCCAAGGCATTTCTGGTCACTATACTTAAAACTGGCAGCTTTACAAATTCATGAACCACTTTCCCCTATATAAATCGCACCCCTTTTAAAATGACAGAATTATTTTTAATATTAATTAAGCTTTTCAATTTAAAGAAAATGTCTACCCCCAAAAAATAAAAAATAAAGTTTAAAGGAAATTCATTAAAAAAAAAAACAAGGTAGGTGTCTGCTTCTGCTTCCATCAGCTTCTGGATAAAGGCTCTAGGATGGCATATAAGAAGCTTCTCAGTTTCAGGAGGTCCCATTTATTAATGGAAGATCTCAGTGTCTGTGCTACTGGTGTTATGTTCAGGAAGCAGTCTCCTGTACCAATTCGTTAGAGGGTACCACCTACGTTCTCTTCTAAGAGGTTCAGTGTGGCTGGATTTATATTGAGGTCTTTGATCCATTTGGACTTAAGTTTTGTGCATGCGATAGATATGGATCTACATGCCAGCATCCAGTTATGCCAGCACCATTTGTTGAAGATGCTTTCTTTTTTCCATTGTATAATTTTAGCTTCTTTGTCAAAAATCAGGTGTTTGTAGGTGTGTGGGTTAACATCACATTTTCCTGTTACAGGGCTATCCTAAAATGTTTCTACTATATAACTCACAAAATAGGTCAAACATCAACAATTTCCATCAGTTGATTTTTAGAAAAATACATTAAACTGATAAGATGAAATGAAATTTAAAAAACAAAAACAATGCTCTGCAAACTAAGAACTTGCTGGACGCTGAGTATAAATCCAATTTTGTTCATTGAATTTATAATTTAAACATCTCCATCTCATTGCCTAAAATCTTATATCCCCTGAAAATAAAGACAAAAAGCAGTAGAGTTTCCTTACAGTCAAAACCCAGTTAGCTAAAAGTTAACGTTATACTTTTGAAAAATTGCACCTAAATCATTCCAAGTAAGTTCTATAATGTACGGATATGGCAGAGCTTGAGGTCTGAGCGATGAGATGGGAGTGATGCTATTCAATGTCTCCCGGTCATTGGGTTTAAAAGGAGTCTAGGAATAGGTGGCAGGACAAGTCAATCATTTGTGCATTATTCATCTGCAATGTTGTCTTCTAGAGCTCGGTGAGGTCTTAGAAGCATTGGGGGAGGGGTAAATAGAGGTAATAGAGTGATTCTCTTTTTCTCTTGTTTTGCCTTTGTTTTTTTGTTTGTTTGTTTGTTTGTTTTGTTTTTTTGTGGCAGGGCATCTCTACATAACTCTGGATGTCCTGGAACTCAAGCCTGTAGACCAAGCTGAACTCACAGGTATCAGACAGCCTCTGCCTCCCTAGTGCTGCAAAAAAGTTTGTGCCGCCACACCTGGCAACAGCAATTTAAAAAAAATAAAATAAAATAACTGTAAGATGCCTAATAAAGATCTGTAGAAACTTCCAAAAGGAAGGAATGAAAATTCAATGATTATTTTCCAAAAAGGATGTTAACTAGTGTTAAGATGAAACCAGATGGAATCCACAGTTCGTATCAAATAAAACAACCAATTTCCCCAAAGTGTATTTTGCTTCTTCCAAATTTCGAAGCCTAGGAAATTTCACAAGCATTCCATTTGCTGGGTTGATACCAAAGCTTCCTCTTGTCAGCTGTTCCTTGCCCTCCCCAGAGTTTCTTAATTTCTTCTTTAGGCAAAGTCAGGGAGGGTTTCACTATGCAGC